TCGCCGGCCGCCGCGCCGCCGGCCGGGCCCCCCAAGGACTACAGCCAGGACATGCACCTGAAGATGAGCAAGAAGATCGCCCAGCTCACCAAGGTACGGGGGTGCGGGGTTCGGGACTCACCTGGCTCCTAAGAGAAGCAATAGCCTAAGAGTTGCTTCCTGGACCAGCCAAACTTGGGTGGAATGCTGGCCACTGAACTTGAGCTACACTGCACCCCGCGGGGTTTCCAGGGCTTGCACCCCATTGCCAACCAAGAGTAAAGCAGCACAGAGCACAAGAAGGCTCACTTTCCGGGCTCCACAGTAGCAAATGGACTGTTGCTCCTGTGCCTCTTGCCGAGGGCTGCACGAGGCACCACGCCAAGAGTACCCGGTGAAGTACGGTACCTAACATGACCCGGAATCCTCAGAGTTAATCAGTGTCTGCTCCTAGGTCCCACGGTTAATGGGAGCATAAACTTCCCGAGGTTATTCCGAGGACTGTAGGAAGATGAAACATACCTTGCATGCCATTTTAGGGATTTAATGAGTCATTCCTTACTTACCCTGACATAATGTCAAATAAGGTTTATTAGATGAATCACACTGAGTTTGCATTTAGTAAATGTTTCATCTTTATCAGAATACAGTTTTCAAGGAGCCCATCACCTGCACAGTTTTCCAACCACGGTCAGTTTGTGAGCTCTCTTTCTAATTTAGTAAATACTGATAATAAGGCATGGGTCTATGTAGATCTTAGCAGCAGTATAGCGCTATGTGGGCTTGACGTTCACTGCTTGGTAATCTCTTTAGATCTGGCCCAACTCCAGAGCCCCATCATCTTATTTTACTAGAGTTTAAAGAGAGGACAGGGAATGGTTGTGAAAAGGTAATAAAAAGAGGGTGAAAATGGTAAAGAGATATAATGGAGGATACAGAGAAAGATGCCACAAAAGGAATAAAGAATGAAGGGATGCACAGAAGGCTAAATTTAAAGAGATTAAAAAAAAAAAAACAAGCAAACAAACTAAAAGCATGTGATCATGACTTGAGCCATGCAAAGCAATACTTCCTTTTGTGGAATGCATATATGTGTATGGTGTGTGTGTGTGTGTGTGTGTGTGTGTGTGTGTGTGTGTGTGTGTGTGTGTTCTAAGCACTGTCTGCATGTGTGTGTGTGAGAGAGAGAGAAACAGAGAGAGAGAGAAAGAAGAGAGAGAGAGAGAGAGAGAGAGAGAGAGAGGAGAGAGGAGAGGGTTGTCTCCAAACTCAGAATGGAAGGTGTAGCTATTATGGCTGGAGCTAAAAGCCAGGCCTCCCCAGCAGTTTCATCTTCAGAATGCTGGTGGCCATAGTGAGGCTCATGAATATTTGTTCTGGCTTTTTTTTTTTTAATGCTGTGTGCACAACATTCCTTTTCTTATTTTAGAATGTCACTCTTGGAGACTCTTGTAACACACACTGCATAGGTTAGAAGTGGGACTGTGTAGTATTTAATAAAAGCGGGTTTTCATCAGTAAGCTTTTCCTCTTTCTACTTAGGCTTCAATTTCCTGTTCAGTAAAGCAATTCAGCCTCGCTGCACAGGTGGATATTAAGGGGGATGATCATATCTCTCTCTCAAATGTAATGAACCAGGTGCTGCTGGCCCAGGGCTTCCCTGGCTGCTGAGCATTGCCTGCATTCTGATTGCCTGTTTGTAGTTACTGTTTCTAACACCCAGTCTGCTTGGAAGTGCTGCAGGCATTTAATCCCTTGTGTTGGGGTTTCTCAGTGTAACACAGTTGACACTTCAGGCCAGCTAGTTCCTTATTGGGGACTATCCTGTACAGTCCAGAGATGCCTAGTAACATCCTTGCAAATTGTGGGTACAGGTTGCACATGCCTCTGCCCTGCATTTAGAAGTGACAAGAGACAGGTCTGCAGGCGTTACCAAGTGTTTCTTGGGCAGGGTAGTGTAGGAGGCTCATTGGTAAGGGATACTTACCATGGAGTTGTACTGAAATGCCTAGGGCTTCCCCCACCGCTATTGCTGGCCTTTATATTTCCTAAGATAAAGCCTGAGTCTGGTAACAGTCTAATAACAGCACTCGATTGCAGTCAGTATCACAATCCTTTCTGTATCACTTTAGAAATTGTCAAACTTGGTAGTCACATATACGTCATAAGCCTTGCACCATGAATGTGTGTATAAAAGGATTGCTAGAAATTTGACTTTGCAATGTATTTGCTGTCTGAGATTGTCATAAAGAGTTTACTACTGAGTTCCTAGCAGTCAGAGATAAATTAAACGCAGCTATGGTTGGAACTTGACTTTAGCTTTTTTTTTCAAAATACAATATTGTAGAGGTAACCATTTGAATAGGGACTTGGGACTAAAAAAGGAGCTCTGTTGATAAATTGCCTGCCCATGCAAACATGAGGATCTGTGTTTGATCCCCAGCACACACATGAAAAAGCCAGGTGCTGCAGCTTGCATTTCCAATCGAAGGGCTTGGGGAGCAGAAACAGGAGGATCCCCGTGGCTTTCTAGACAGCTGGTGTAGCTGAAGCAGCAAGATGCTGGTTCAGCGAGAGACCCAGTCTCAAAGAATAAGATGGAGAGTGATGAGAATGACAACTGACATCAGTCTCTGGCCTCCATGCATATATGTGTGTTTGTATGTATATACGCACACTCATGCACACACGTACACACACACACACACACCACCAATAAAAAATGCAATGGGCTCACACCACTGTTAAAGACACAGTGTGATTAAGAATGTGTGTTGTTGATGTCACACACTGTCTTGAGTTAGAAAGCTGGCTCCACTACTTACTAATAGTGTGACCTCAAGCAAGTCACTAACCCTGAGCCTCAGTGTCCTAGGTATAACAAAAGGAGTAATGCCACTTAGGAAGCTGTAATGGCACACAGTAGGCTCTTAATTCAGGTTGTCACTGAAATTACTTATTATGTACTACCAAAGTACTAAGAAGGAGTATTTTAAATTTTAACTTTGATTTTTTTTTTTTTTAAAGACAGAGGCTCTCTATATAACTGAAACTGACCTCAAAGTAACAGTGCTCCTGAGTCCTGGGCTCCCAGAAGGACTCTGTTCTGCATTTGATAGCATTATTGATACTCTATTTATTTTCTACCCAGCTCTATTAAAATTTGTATAGTAGATCTTCTGTTGAATAGCTGAGTTTCAAGGCTTCACATTCTGATTTGCTGTTTGGTCTGCAAAGCATGCTCCCGGAGATCCCACTAGCTCTGAAAGGGCAAAGAAGAAAATTAACCACTTTAGAATGCACCTGGTGAGGCTTGTCTGGTTTCTTTCCATTTGGTCCCAGGGATCACACCTTGTGAGTGCTGAGCAAGCACTCTGCCCCTGAGCTGTATCCCGAGCCCTTTGGTGTATTTTTAACTAAAGAAATTACTCACGGTGTGAATATTTGCTCAGGATCTGTTTCCTAAGAACCCGGCAGGTCAGCCTTGTCCTGGTGAGAACAGCAATTCTTAGAGCCCCTTTAGTAGACAGGGCTTTTGCTGAGTGTTAGAGCAAGCAGGAGTAAGAGAGAGAGGAGCAGAACAGCCTCTGCCCATAAGTCAGGAATATTTAGGTCGTTTATGTCAAGTTTTGCAAATGAGTGCTGAACTGGTGGTGGATTCCTATGTCGTGCCATGTTTCTGGAACTGTTAATAACTGACTTCAGGGCGAGGGGAGGGGCTGAATGGATTCTGTTTGATTTGTAAAACCCCATTTCTGTGCTTCCATACTTGCCCTTCTGTAGAAAAGCAGAAGTTGGAAGAGGTAACCATGAAACAGCCTTGTTGTCCCCTTTCACTTTGCCTCCCCTATCCCCCTCCAGTCCAGTTTGTCCCTTTGACTTCTTAGGACTGGATTATTTTTGGCTAGCGATGGACTTGATTTTTCTAGTTGTCCTTAGATAATATTGATAGATCAATCTCAGGTCACGAGAAGTCTCAAATCTGATTAATAAAAGGTCCAGTGCCGATCATGCAATCTTGAGGGCAGATGCAGAGGTGAAGCCCCCTGCCTTCTGCTCGCCCTCTTCAGCCCTGCCTCTGGCCAGGGGGGATGGTAGGTGACTGGGGAAGGCATTTCATAGACTTACTATTATTATTATTATTATTATTATTATTATTATTATTATTATTATTTGCTTCTGGCCTGGTTTCTACCCTTGCCAGCCCTGGTCCCTGATCCCTGTGAAGTGACACAAGGAAGGACACAGAAGGAAGGGAGCAGCCAAGTTCCATGGACTCTAACTCTGGTGCTTCCGTAGCCTTGGCAGGTGTTTCCCGCCTACCTCCTGCCTCAGTTGCTTAAGATTTCCACTTTAACTTCCCTGATGATAAAAATGCATCTAAACTCTGACTAGTTGCTGGTTCCCTGCCCAACCTCTTGGGACTGGCATTACCGCCATATTCATTTTTTTATGGTGTGTTAAAGCTCCAGATATGCCTCTTGGCCCGACCCATGCAGCACCATCCCAGCTTGCTGTGTCTCTTGCCCATAGGACTTGCTTGCATGTGGTCCATGGGACAACACTCATCTTCTTCAGACTGGTAATGGGACCAGTTCAGCCATCTCTCTTGGGCTCATGTTTCTCCACCCAGCATCTTCTCATCCTGCTGATTATTAAGGGATGGAACGGGTGCCACAGTGCTTGATGTAAGTGTCAAGCTCACCAAGTGTTACCCTCAAAGCTTTCTTCTCAGCTTCAGTGGGGGCCAGTCATCTTTCCACAGACCCTTCTTCACTGTGGCTTCCCTAAGAAAATCACTAGAACCACTCTATGATTTCCATAAAGCTGCTTGTTGCAATGGTTTGCAGAGGGGTAACTTATGTGAGCAGTGCTTAACCTTCAGACTTCTTCCTTTGACATTTTAAAGAGTGCTTTGATCACCTGCTTTGGAATGCTGTTTTATTGTCTTTACCTCTAAGTAGAAACCTCTGTTTATTTTCTTGCTATTTTAGCTCTTGCCTCTGTTGGTAACTGAGTTTCTGGTACACCTCATTCCACTCATCATTTATAGTTAGAACTCACAGAAGGTACAGCATAAGCTGAAGCTTATAGTTAAAAGCTTTCTGTTTGGTC